CATCACCACCTGACGTATCATTTATTTATGTGCCTGTGGTCTGTCCTACCAGTCTAGAGTATTCAGTGAGCGCCACAGAGGGGCTTTGTGTACTATCTTGTGCCCAACACCTAATATCTGGCATGTGGTCAACACTCAATATTTGTTGAATGAAGGAATGAAGGAATCCCCTCAACTGACCTAGAGATTTGTCATGTTTTTAAATACATAGTGCCTGGCATCTAGTGGGTCATCACAAACCATATGCTAATCAAGCTGGGGACACACAGAAATCTGGGTCTCTGTAGACTCTGACCTTACCACAAGGAGGGGAGGGGGTTCTGGGGGTACTGACCCACAGTTCCCCATCTAGTACACAGGATGACACAAGGTGAACACTACTCAGCCACAGTGGAAGTGCCGGGATAGGACACAGCAAGAAAAACAGAGATCAACTAATTTATCATATGCATAGTAGGGTCAATTACAACATCAAATGTCAGATTAGAAATCTAATAGATCTGCTTTGTACCCAAAATTTTTGCCATGATTGCTCATTAACTTCAGATGCACCCAAGTATACATCTCCAAGGCAGAGTATCTCCAGACAGTGTCTGATGTGGCTCTACATGGCCAAGCAAGGCCAGAACCCAAAGGAAAGGGACACAGGTTGAGCCCTGAAGCCAGTAGGTTCAGTGGAAACAGTTCAATATACTGCTACAGATGACACAGCCATGGTTACAGGGCATAGAGTCCATGGGGAGGACCAGCCCAAGCTCAGGCAAGGTTGAAGCAAATGCCAGCCCCAGGACTGTCATTCCAGCAAACTAAAGAGTGGAAGCATCTGACATGAGTGGCACTGGGCTGTACGGCCAGAGAGCCAGCCTTCATCCTTGCCAGTGGTTTAAGAGGACATAGAGTAGAAATCTGGTCTAGGGAGAAAAAAAACCAACTCCCAAGCAGAAAGGAAGACGGGGGTAAAAGGTAGGGTTGCCAGGCCATTAGTTAAGCAGGAATCACAGCAGGTACTGGACCCATAAGGAGGGCCAACATGGAAGGTGGAACAGGGTGTCCTGCAGCCCCAGGAGTTGTTCCTGTCTTGACTATGCTGCACCACTTCTGGTGAGACCGGGGTTGCCAATAAGCCTCCTTTCTGGATCCAGATTCGATAAGGCACTGGAGTGAGTGTGGCAGTGCAGCACTGTCCTTTCCCCCAGATTCTACATTGCCCTCATCCTCTAAATGTCCTGACAGAAGCCCAGGGAAGATTTCCAGGTGACATGATTATCTCTATGTGACCTTGGCCAGTAAGGGACACACTGTGAAGAGAGCCTCCCAAGGTGCTGGATTACATCATTTTATTGCCAGTTATTCCTCTTAAAACATAAGAGCCCTACATGGGTGAGAAAAACACAAAATCAATTCTTCATTTTCTTCATTATCACGCTGACCTTTTTTTTTTTTTTTTTAGAAGAAAGGGAGACAAAACGAGTCTTCCAAACAGATTCTGAGGGAAGAGTACAGAAAGTCAAGATATAACTTCTCTTAAAAAATAAAAAAATAATCGGTCTTCCCTGGTGGTGCAGCAGGTTAGGATGCAGCACTGCAAGCTGGCCACAGCCACTTCAGTGTGAATTCAATCCTGGGCCCTGCAGGTGATCTACATGGCACAGCAGACTCTCCGGTATCGCCTGCTGCTCCCCTCAGCAGTATACTTCGTGGATCTGCCTGCTCTGCTCCCCACTCTGTCTCTGGTGAATCCTCTCACTGCCCCTGCACCTCTGGCCTGTACGCCATTCTGTATGCATAAACAAATCTTTTTTTAAAAATCTCTAAAAAACTACACCCAGAATATACCCCATTCTGTATGCATAAACAAATCTTTTTTTAAAAATCTCTAAAAATCTACACCCAGAATATAAAGAGCAATGAAAATGAACCATCACTCACTAATAAAACTTTTGAGGCAGCTCAGCATTTACAGTGAAGCACAAAAATTAAAAACAAAAAAAAAGAGAAACCAAGAGTTTCTGAGAAAATCAAAACAAGAAAACATTTTAATAAAATAAAATCAATTCATTCTTGGAGAAGGATCGACTCCTTGGCTAAAAGGAAGGTCACACATCTCTATTTGTTCTTAAGGCCTCCCAAGAAGAGACCACCAAATTTACACGAATTAATTAATAATTATGGCCAAAATGAGTTAAATGTCAGAAGAGGCTAATGTATGTTCATACATAAATAAAACATCATATTTTCCTATGCTTAGTATATCAAACTTCAAAAGACCTTTATAAAAATTTAAATGGACTATTTTAAAGCTTATTAAAATTACCCTATTATGGCCTCAGAGAAGCACTGAGGTCCTGGTATCCACTTGTGATTTTTACAGGGACATTAAATTGGAAGTCATTTCAACTCTGCTATTCTCTCCAGGATTTTGGTAAAAGAAATTAGGATTCAATTAATTAAGTCCCAATTTAATTTTAGAAATAAAATACTGATCTCAAATAAATTAATTCAAGTAATTTTATGGTCTCAAGAGAAGACTATTAACAACTCCTTTAGCATATATTATTTCCTCTATTCCTACACACACACACACTTATACACACACACACATATGAAGCTTGACAAAATGGAAAGTCAAGTGGATTTTCCAGAACATATGTGGATTTTAAAAGTGATTTTTATGAGGTTGAAAACTAAAAGAAGAAGAGAATAATAAACTCCAAAGTCAGAATTTATCTGTGAATGGAGATGGAGAAAGCTGGGATTGGGGAGGAGACCCAGGGCCCTCACAAGCAATGGCAACACGTTTTAACTGGGTGATGGATAGACAGGTATGTATTATACTATTTTCTACACGTAATAACAATTTTATAATCTTAACATATCCAATGATCAACAAAAACTATTTAGAAGTGAGTTTATATAACTGACACTTTGGGAAGTATTTATAGATACATGTAAAACAAATTCTATTTATAGAATATTCTTTTCAGCAACAGTGTTACTTGTCAAAAAGTAAAATAATTAAGAAAATTTAATTTAACTGCCAACCTATCTTTCCATTTGACAACTCCCACTGAATTGAAATTGAAATCTTGAGGGAAAGGCTATTTTTCTCACTTCAACACAGGTAGGCCTTTTTTTCCCCATTCAACATCCATGTGTCTCTCATGACTGAGACGTATTCTGAGAAACACATCATTAGGCAGTTTTGTTGTGATTACATAAAAAAAAAAAAACTAGATCACTGACTCCACAGCTACACTCTCACACACATGACTCTGGATTCACCATCATAGACGGGTCCACTGTTGACTGAAATGTCATAAAATGACCTTAAGTAAACTGCCAGTTTAAAAACTGTCTTTCCCCCTCAACTTCTCTGTAACTTTCACCATTTGATTTTTTTTAATTCTTTTTCTTATTCTCTGGATCTGAAGAAATGAAAATGGAGATCATACCTCTATGAACAATGCACAGCAGTATGATTTACCTCACCCACAATCAAATGAAATGTTTCAGTAGTAACAGGCTTTCAGTTGGCCTGTTTTGTATTCAACCATGTGATGCCAGGAGGAAACTTTAAGTCAAATCCCAAGAAGAGACACTGTCACCTTACTATTTCTTTCTACATCTTCCCAATTCTAGTTTAACTATTTTGCTTTCAATAACGGCAAAAATGTCTTAAACAGTTTGACTTTGCTCAGACACAAGGATATTTAATTTGTAAGTTTCAATCCAACCTGAGAATTCTTATGGTCTTAAATACCAACTCTTTTCAGTATTTCAAAGTCTAAAACCTATATTTACCTGTAATTTGGCTGTGCTAAAAATACTACCCCTCACTCCCCAGGAATTTACTAAGTCTCCCAATGTCATATGGGTCTCGTGATGATTACATAGTTAGACACAAATCATTAATGAATGGAAGAATGGTTGTGGAAATGGAAGAATTGATCATGATCACGTAAGTGTTCTAGGAAAATCAGATCCCAAGGGTCCTGGTTTTCAGTGGGGTAAAACAATGAAAGTGGTCTTTCATTACTGGTACTTAGGGTTTTTAGCAAGTCTAAATATCAGCAAAGAATGGCATTTGTAAATCAACTACAACAAACAACTCTGGGAACCATCACTGAGAGTCATTCTATCTCTGTTTTCATAAAACCTCGAGCATATTGATGACCTGTTAAAAACTGCAAATCAACCTTTCCTTTCTTTCTCTTTTTGGCCAGTTCAATTCTCTATTCCTTGATGGCCGTAAAAAGTTCAAGTCCTGAAAGCTGTTATGAGGAACAAGTGTTTCATATCACTCTTCTTCCTGCTGCAAGTTGGGCTAATAGCACTAGGAATGTTTATCTTTCCATAGCCTCCAACTCTCCTTAAAATCAAAGAAAGATCCTCTCCCAAACTAAGGTCCTTAACAAAAGTAAATGCGCTGGACAAAATCTAACCAAAAAGAAGACTTTAAATCAACAACTTTTAAGAACAAATTAAACGCACCTCCCAAATGCTTTCCTTTGGCCAGGTAGGACAACCCCAGGGAACAGGTGCAAGGCCCGCCTTCCTCCAGGCGGTCTCCTCCCTCTTGACTCTGACCTTTCCCAGCAGGCAGCTCTGGCACTGCAGGAATCAGTTACCAGTAGGCCCAATGCCTACTTTCCCATATCCACTTTCCAAATAGCTCCTGATGCCAAGGGCGGAGATATGACCTGGCTCTTAGATGAGAACATGCCTCCCAACTGACTTGCCAACTTTCCCTGGAAAATTTTCTAAATGTATTCTCTATGCTCCCTCCTCACTTCTCAATCATGGGTTGTCCATGCTTCCTTCTTTCCAGCACTTCCTAATTCTACCCCTTCAACCTGTCCCTCCAACACCACTATACCTGCAGTCCAAACTCCCTTTCAGGAAGTACCAATCCCCTCCCAGCTTAAAACCCCATTTCAAATCCAAAGGGTAAAGTCCTAACAATTTGAGAGCCAATTTGAAGGGATCTTTTTGAGGCCTACCTGCAGGCAGCTCAGTCACAGCTTCTTCCCGAGCCTTCTCCAGCTTCTCCCTGACCCAGGGAAATTCCTGCAGGGAATCTAGGAACTTGTCAAATGCCTTAGGGCCCCTGGAAGGTAGGATATCCAGCAGCAGCATTGTTTTCCTGAGGCCTGTGGCTTGAGCTTTAATCTCTTGAACATGGTTTTCTGTCAAAATCCCTTCCTGATAAAGATACTGAAGAACTAGTCCCTCCACCAGGACCTCTGCACCCAGCTCCAGGCGGAGGGAGCGAAGGACTTGTTTGTCTCGAGCTTCCATTGCCCCCTGGGAAGACACAAAATGAGAGCTTCTATTACAGGAGGGCTAATGAGTCCCTAAAGAGTATCCCTGCAACCTAAGTTGCTTGAAGTCAGGAACATCTTTGAACTTCAGCAAAATGTTAGGCCGAGGTGTTTAACACCTGGCTGGCAAGCAAGCCAATTAACTTCGAATGTTTCTGAACATAACAAATAATACTGAACATGAATCATTTTTTTCTGTTTTTGCACTCAATTCTTTGTTGGGTAAAGAGGGATGAAAAAGTGGTTTCAGAGACCCTGCAACTTTTAGTGAAGGAGTACAGAATCGCCGTCTCCTTTTACCTACACACTTCAGCAGAAATAGCGGCTTTATGTCAACTTTGCCGTCATCAGAGATGCCAGCACAAACACCGCCCTGCAGGTGCCCTTTTGACTGGAGCATTTGCAGAAACTGGTCAGGAGTGGGGGTGGGTGCCAGAAACCGCCAGGTACTGTAAGTTGTAGGCACTTTATTTCTAAGAGAAAAGATCTACACACCAACACCTTCAAGGAAAACCTGTGTTGTTGCCCAGTCTACAATAAACTTTGTACGTGGTCACCATCTCTGTGCCTTTCCTTTAGTAATTCAGAATCTCCACAACATTGTCCAGGCCGGTCAGGCATAGGACATTAGCTTGGGGTTTTGTTTTGTTTTTCCTGTAAAAGAAAATATGCCCTGGTTGGTAGCCACGCAAGATTTGAAGGCACATTTCCAAGATAAATACACCAGTACACGTGAAGGGGGCTATGTGGTGGCTATGAAGGTAAATGAATGGTGAGGAGTTGGGAGGGGCGACAGGTGGGGCTTCCACGACGCGGGCGGACGACCCCCAAATCCTCCTCATGGCCCTTGGGAAGTTCAGGATTTGGTAGGTGAGGAGCGTGTGCACAAAGCCCACCTGGCACTTTTTGTTCCCTGCCTGGCCACCTGAAGCCCTGCCGTCTTAGGAACGGAAAAAATTATAAGCGACTATATGGCAACCTGACCGGCTAAAAAGGGGGTGGTGGGAATAATCTCTGAGCGCCCTTAACGGAGAGCGAACCCACGCGCCCCCACCGCCACCTCCCCCCAGACCTGAACACCGGAGCAAGTTAGGGGTTACCGGTCCGCGCAAAGCCCAGGTTGCGGACAAGACGGCGCGGGGCCTTCAAAGACAGATGGATACAGGGTTTCTGGTTTCCTGTTACTTACGTCTGCGACCAGGTATCTTTAAAAAAAAAAAAAAAAAAAAAAAATGCAACCGGACTCCAGCTGTTAGGAAACCTGCACTATAAGCACCATCTTTGTTGAAGGCGAAACCCCCTGAACAGGAAGTGTGGTCGCCATTTTTGTTGAGGGCAAGCACAGGAAGTGCTGTAGCCATCTTTATTGGAGGCCATGTGTTGCACTGAAGCTTTTCCCGCCATGTTTGCTGTGGGTAAACAATATAACTGCCTACAGATGGAAAACGGCAGAATGATTTAAGGAGTTATCTTAGTAACGGTGTAAATTGGATCATTGCATTTTAACGCAGTAACTCTGGCAGGGCTAATAAACGGGAACAGAGGAGAAGGAAAATAGTTTAATTTGTTGACTAACTAGAAGGGCAGCAGACTCATGCCTGAAAGACCATTGGCCTGCTCTTTGGCAAAGGGTATTTACCCAGAGTTCCAAGGGGGAGTGAGCAAGGATCAGCATGTCCATCCTTGCAACAGGAAGGTCTGGAAGTTTTGGATGACGCCAGTTTGCTTTCGCTATCACCTAGTGGTGAGTAATTCAGAGGTTATCTTCCTAGTGATGCTCTTTTCCCTCTGAAAGAAAACAGAATTTGTTTTCCTGGAGGGTAAATAAAGAAAATAAGAGAACTTACTGTTGGAACAGAAAAAGAAACAGTCCTTCACTGCTGTAATAAGGGTATCATTTAATAGAGGTAAAACTTAGATCTGCACTTTGCTCAACTGAATAATACTAGGAGACACAAAACAGGTAAGAAAGGGAAGCTGATAAAGAGTTGCCATGGGAACCTGGCCATAGGTCCACATAACCCATAGGGGGCTATGGAGAAATCTCAGGAATATGGAAAAACAAGGCAAATAGAATCAAGCAAGACACCCCCTGTGTGGAAATCCCACTGAAACCTGATGACACAGCAGCTAACAACAACAGAGACCTATTCCAGTCATGAAAAGCCCAGAAAAACGGGTTATAAAAAGGGTCCTTCCCTCCTGGCCAAATCCTTCTTTCCAGGACACAGACCTCTCCCCTCTCATTCCCTCCTCTCTCTTGGAAGTTATTTCAATAAATCCACCTTTCCTGTTCTCCACTTGGATGAATTCTTTCACACACACATCACCACCACCACCCCAACCCCATGCTTCCTCTTCCTTCCACACTATACATAAAAATTGCAGTATGGTCATATTCATTTCCAGCACTCCTCAGACCCTTTTCCAGCTTCATTTTTTTTAAAATCACCATTATATACTCATTTATTTACTGTCACCATCTTATAATCTTCCTCCACTAACAGATAAGGTCATTTCTGTATGTCACAGGATTTCTGCCCACATTGTGTTTACAAATCAATCAAGCTTCTATTGCTGCAATCACCTAGCTACTCTAGACAGAAAAGGACTTGACCTGAGGAATTGGGAACATTCTCAACCTTTGAATAAACTGGAGAAGGGTTGGGAATCCAAGGATGACTCCCAAAACAATATTGCCAAACTCGTTTGTGGCCACACTCAAGCAGATGGAGTTGCAAAACCACCACTTGACTGTCCCAACCACTTCACAACACTGACAAAGCAAGGGATTCGAAGTTGGAACACTGCTACAAAAGCAAAACAAACAAAGTCTCCACAGCTGTATTTGCCAGCAGCATCAAAACAACACCTGCAAATCTTACTCTCAAGGGTGGCTAACACCTAATTCACATGCAGAACATTAGCAGCAAAGGTGTTTGAGCATGTAATTTGGAGCTTTCCAGTTTCTGAAATAGAAAGACATGCTAAAAATAGGGAGGGTTTGAGACTAAGGGCCAATTCAATGAGTTCACCACATTTTCAATGTGGAAGGCAAGACAAATGCGTGATCCAAATATAGAGAGATACAAGAATGTAAAATTAAATGTCCTCCATAAAATCCTTTGTGGCAAAGATAATAAATATATTCACTGATTAATTTTTAAATCAACTGGATAATAGATACAGTGTCATATGCCTTTTTAAGGGTTAATAGTAAGAGGGAAATTCTCCTCAAACCTATAGAGGTTTTCACAACCAGTGCCTCTAGTGGAACATGAAAATGACTGTAAATCAGAGAGCAATTCTAAACCCCACTCCTCAAAATCATCTAGTAATTGGAACCAATTTAGAGCATTATCCTATAGGTATACAATTTTGCTATACGACAAGTGACAGCATTTTTTACATAAATGACAAGATGATAATTGGCATTTCACATATGAAAAGACTACAGATCAGAGTGGCCAAGTGTCTTAGCAAAGATCTCATACCTAATCTATATCAAAACCTGAATTCTAATCAGGTTTCTCATCTGATTTCATGCCCTTTTCCTGTACGGTGAACAGTGCTTTATTCTAATAGCAGTTAATATACTACTGGCAAATCATCTGGTGTTGCCTCCCCTATTGATACTCTTGAGTTCCAGAAACTCCCTTCACTGTCTCCCTCTTCCTCTTTTGCTCCTGACCACAGTGTTTTTCCTGGGCAAGTTTTTCTTTTCGTGTATAGAACGTGTTTGCAGTATTTTCTGTTTTCATCCAGATCAAATGTAGACCTCTTGCAATATTGCCAATAGCTAAACTTACTGACTTTGGGAGAAAGGATAAGTGTATTTTTTTCTAATAGTAAATTTTGGTAATTTTCAAACACCCAGAAAGTTGAAAAAAATAGCATAATAAACAAATTAGATTATCTAGTTTTAAAAACTTCTTTACAAGCTCCTGTTTGTAAAGACTTGATATATCCTGGGAGCAAATGGGAGAGCATTAATAATAATATCTAGGAGGACACCAGGAACCAACAGTGAGTTTGCTCAAAGTTCACGAAAGAAAAGTCATCAAAGGCTCCCTGGTGATTCAGGGGTTAAGTCTCAGCACTATCAATCTATCACCCACCACTGCTGCCTGAGTTCCACCCCTGCAAGGGAGCAGGAGCTGACCCATGTGGCACAGCAGACCTCTTCTGTCTCGCCTCTGCTCCCCGCAGCAGTGTGTTCCAGTAGATCTGCCTCTTCTGCTCCCAGCTCTGTCTCTTGTGAATCTTCTCACCACCTGCATCTCTGGTTTACGCCCCAGTTCCTGTATGCATAAATAAATAAAAATAAAATCTGAAAGAAAAGAGATTAAGAGACATTGTGAGAACCGTTAATATAGGAACTAGAGGGTATTTAGTCCTTAATGTGAACATAAGGAGTGTCTTCTTATGGTAAGAAGCAGACTTAAATCCATAAAATGAAGCACTGGTCCATCAAATTTTCTCATGGCAAATATAGATGAGCACCCTATGTGGCCTCCTAAGTGGGCTGGCTGGCTCTCTATCATCAGTCAGCCTGTTGAAGGACTACCAGCTTGTACTGGAGTACAGTGACATTCCTGAGAAGTGTATCAAAAGTTCAGGTTCACTTTCACAAATCTCTAAGGCCAGTGTACAAACCAAACATAGATTAGAATTGTTATTACTCCTCCACTCTGCCCAAACCCTCTCTGTAGGCTGGTTTGTGCCCCCACAATGCACAATTTTTGTATTAACCAATATAAAGCCCAAGTTAATACAATCTGTTTGTTGATATAACTAATCACAATGTCTGTCTGAAAGAAATAGGAAATGAATGCCATTGTTAGTGCTAGCTAACAACCAAAATGATTGATATGTACTATATTCTGAATGGCAAAATTTAATAGCTAAATTCTTTGCTGAACATCTATGGGGCCAACATCTTGTATCACCTATTAGAGAGAAATCCAAACACTTTGGAGAGCAGACATTAAAAGGATTGACTTAACATTGTATGATGAAAAATTTAATGGCTAACCCTCCATTCTTGTTCAAGTGAAATGACATAAAAGCAAGTTATATTGCTATCAGGGGTAAATAGGCCAAGATGTTTCTCAATGAATAAACAAAGAAGTTTGAGCCTGTTTAGGCATACGGCCAAGTATTTGACTGAGATCACATAATTTGACATCATAAAAAACAAAGGAATTATTTGACCCCTCATGAGGGTAAAGCCCCTGAGTATTACCTTCACCAATAGGTAACATTAACCACACACACACACACACACACACACACACACACATCACATCACATCACATGGACCTTCCTAGCAATTCTTTCCAAGCAAAACTACATTATCTTGGGTCTGCCTGGATGATTTATCCATAAATGTACCAAGTAGCTGAATGAACCAAGCTTTTATCTGGGCTTATTTAATAGAGTCCATTTAAAAATTAGACAATGACTACTTAATATAATGTTTTTGCTTCCATGTAATTGATGCCAGGTTTTTCTTTCTGACAACAATCTACCAAAAGGTTCAGCTGTATCTTAATAAAGCAAATATAACCATTAGCCCAGAAGTTCTTCCTTTCCTTCTCATTTGTACTAAGTGGGCATGCATCCAATCTGTCTGCTGGCTATACAGGAAGTATAGAATTCTGAACAAATAGTGGATATTAATATTGAAGCATTAGAATGGTTCTTCAGAGAGACTATTTGATTTAATATAGAAAAGAAACTAACCATTAAAAGTACAGATGGATTCTTTAGATCTCTTCTCTCCAGATAGTGAGAATAGGAATGCTGAGAGTACTAGTCAACTGGAAATATGAGATGAGATGAAATAAACTTCTCTCCACCAGGGTAGCCCTGTCTTTGATCAGAAGTAGATAGGTACAAAGAAAGACAATGATTAGTGGACCATGACCTACTCATCAAATTCACTTGGCCCACAAAGATTTCTCCTATAGGACTAAGAATATCAGGATAGCAGAAGGAAAAGAAACACACTAACCGTAGGACTTTTGACTAGTTTGTCTCCTTCTGAATCATATTATTAGATTGTCTTTTCTTTGAAGAATTGACTTTCCACTTTTTGTGGCCTCTACTAAAATCAAGAACAATGTACTATGCCTATGCATACAGTCTGTACTCAGCAAATATATTTGACTAGTCAGGCTATTTTGATGTTTTTGTTTTA